GCGACCGAGCAGAAGAGGGTGCTGAGCAAATAGCCTATATGCACTGCCCGCACCTCTGTAATGATATATGATTTTACCCATTTTAAATAGTAAAAACAAAAAATAATTAAAAATCAATATGTGGCGGTGTAGTGGATCAGCCAGTGTTGTTTTAATTATTTTATGCTATTATGAGATTTGAGATATTTACCCCCCTACAGACAGCCTGACCCAAGTGAAAGGTTTGCTTTCCCTAAGTGTTGTTTTGGGCAGTTAGATCGTAAAACTTACCACCTCTGGTGAAGCTGAGATAAGACTTGATGCCCTGACTGTTAAAATGACAATATCAACACTAACCAGAAACTAACTTTCTTCTGAACAGCCTATCAGAACTCTTTTGGAAGGAGGGCAGGAAACCCTAAACTGCCCCTCCACACACATAACCATGGCAACTGTCCTTCCTCTTTGTTTAATTACCTCACATCAAAAGATATTCTCATCTTCACACACAGATGTGAATTGGTAAGAAACTCCAGAACACCAGATTCCTTTGTGGGAACAAGAATATTGTCTCCTTGTAACTTGCCTATTACCTTGTTTAATTAAATAATCTTTGTTAAGTTACTTAGCAGGTCTCTCCATTTGAGTAGTTATATTACCATGTTGTTGTTGTTGAAAAGAAGAATCCATAAAGAAAGTTAATTTGCAGTGTTTAACCTTCCTCAAAACTCACTGATATTCCTTTTATTTATGTTATACTAATGCCATGCTTCAACACCGTTTTATATAGTTTCTTGTTAAAGAACATGATACAGAAATATTATCCTGTGCTACTTACTTAGTTTTCCAGCTCGAATTTAATGTTAAATAACCATTTCTTCCCTAGTGAGAGGGTCAATTGTTCTCTCGTGGGACCAGTGTCCCCCTAGAGGACAAACTAAGTATTACATGCCATCGTTCTGAAATGCCGCTTCTACTGTATAATTGTATTACTCTGTACTTATTTGTTCGTAATCTGATGCCATGTTTGTGTAACTTGCTTATATTCTCTAAATAAGAATGTGTAACAGCCAATATTATCCAGGAAATACTGAGTTAAGTCTCTTTCATTCTGAAATCCTGAAAATGTGTTTAGCTGGTAATGTTAACCATTCTAATATTACAACGACTAAGTAATTGTTTTCTTTCCTTATATCGAATGCTTGAAACCAAGAACGGTATAACCGTTTGACATCTAAGGTTACATTGTGGAGAGGTATTTGATTAAAATACGCGCAAATAATCTTTAGGACCATATTAAAAGTTAATGCACCGAAGCCTCCTCCTGAGACCGGAAGCCAAGCCCCCTGGGGAGACGCCCCAAGGGGCCAGACAAACAACACAGCGGAGCTCTTTGTTACTCGCTCTCTTCTCTTGTACTTCGGCTCTTCAGCAGCTCTCGGCACGCGCTCAGCGTGCTCCCGTCTCCTAGCAACCTAAGGGTCTGGCCCAGCGCCGTGATTTGATGTAGTTCTCTTTGTCTTCCAGCAAACTTTCATTGAATTTATCTTTTTCTTTTGTTTATAAAGTCACCTTTACAAACAGTAAATTTTTTACATCATCAATTCAAGAATGACCAAGTTCTTTTAAGCTTTATTTCGTCGAGTTAACTCACTCTTCCCCACGACAACAGAGTTAGTTACGCAAGCAGTAACAATGGACAATCAAACCGACAACCCGAGCCAAGGATCAATTCCCTGGCAGAGAAAGCGACCGGCCGACGGCTTGTTAAGCCGTCTCAACCGAGAACGCACAAAACTCAGCTAGCGTGAGGCCGCCGACCAGCAACCCGGCTGAGAGAAACAACAAGCAGTAAGAAACCAACAGCATTTGTGGTGGAGTTGATGTCCAATAGTCTTTTAATCCATTAGCTTTAATCCTTAATCATTCCAGCCTAAAACTCCTAGACAAATTAAACCGAGTTAGTATCATATAACGTGCGCTTATTAGTTCTCTTCCTCCCTATAAATCAAATTCTCCCCACAATAGAACAACTCAATTTACACTGAACTCCACTACATTCTCATTGTTTGCATTCTGTCTGTTTAGCCATTGTTTATTTATTTGATGTATATTTAACCGCATTTATATCGACCTTTTAGCTAGCTAATAAATTTCCCTAAATTACAGGAACTGTGTGTGTATTGTTTAGCTCCAGGTCACTGTAACGGAGGAGTTACGTCCTTCAGTATGAGATTGACTGACTGATTTTATAGAAATGATTAAGCAATTACTACTAACGGATCACTAGGAATAATTGTGTAATTATTAAACCCATAACGTTACCTAGGGAGTCCGGAGACCCTGGGCGAACTGAATTTCCGGTGGTGCCCGAAAACGAGGATTTATGGATTAATATTTCTGAAATATTAATATTCATCATTTGTATTAAAAACCATAGGTAGACATGCTACAGCGGTCAGCATTGATAATGTAGCAGGCCGCCACAGATCAATCAATATGAGGGAAACACTGAAATAATTGTAATTTGTACAGTAATAACTGTAAGGTGTTAAGGGTGTCAGCGTCTATGACTGAAGTAAAATAAGGCTAATTAATGATATTGCTGAAGGCTGGCAATACATAACGTGAGGCTACGCTGCAACATTATCCTCACTGTGATCACGTTACAAGACTAGTAACACAGCTGGCATGGGTCTCAGTTATTGTTGGCAGTTTAAGATGTGCATATTAGCAAGTTATGGCATAAGAGAGAAAAGGCTTAATAGCCAATGGTAACTTACATGGTGATCAACATCCTTTATCCGTCATGGTCCGTGATTTCTTTTTTGTTTTCTATTGTAGAAAATTCAAATACTACTTTACTACTTTTATGGTATATTTCAACAATCTGAAACATAAAATGGTGTTGAAACAGCATTAAATTAGGCCTACAACAAAGCCAAAATAAAACAAACCAAAAGAAAGAAGGAAATTGTGAGAGTCTATTCACGTATCTCAAATGTGCGTCTGTGTTGCAAGGATTTTGCTAAATGTGTTCAATGGATTTTATCGTTTGAGTTTGAGAACGTACAGCGCCTTAAATGTTGCCGCCGCAAGGAATTGTGGGACGGCATTCTCTCCTTTCCTTTCATTAAAGGATTGCCCTGTGTACCCTATGCTAAAGGAGAAAGGAAGCATTGAGGCACCTTTCCTTAGCTTTTAGAGAATTCGACCAGCTCTTATCATGGCCGCCACTTAAATACTTCGGGGTCACTTCACTCAGTTATGAATCTTCCTAAGCAAATAAGACACCTGTGTTCCCGTGCTTTCCCTCTGTTTCCTGATCTGTCCCTGCTGTGGTTGTGGTTGGTGTTTGTTGTCCAGGTATGTGAAAGGAACAGGGACACGCACAAAAATTTTGGTTGGCAGGGGCTCAAGTGTAAAAAAGGGCACTTCTCATAAGTATAATTTTTTTTTCAAACAAAACATTAAATATATTAACACAACTCTAACTTCCTTCCAATTTATTTAAATTTCCTCATACTCACGCAATTGTTTAATACTCAACATTTTTACTTTTCTACAAAATAATCAGTTCACACAGAGACCATGGTCTTCTTTAGTATTCACTAGGTTTATCACAGGAGCAGGCAACAGCAAAGGAAACTATGCCACAATGTGCATGTTTTCTATGCTGCTAATTTAGAATAAATGACTCCACCAAGGAGAGGGATATAATTTCATTAATAATTTGTTTATTTTTCACAAGGAAATAATTGGAATACATAACACTTCCAAAATAAAAAAAAAATCTTCATACTAAACTGTGGCATTGGGCAGCAGTCATATTTAAAATAAATTTTATTTAAATACATTTACTTTTTGTTTCACAAGCAAGATGCCAAATGAGTAGCCTTCAGCTTCATACAGCCAAGTAACAGAATTCTGAATTGCCTGAATACATTAATGTATTGATCAAATACATTATTATTGTTGCTGTTATGTTGCACTTACCACACACACACAATTATTGATGGTGATGTAGTAGGTTGGAAATGCTACATGTTTAGTTTTATGTAAACAGATACCCCCCATTTTTTTTGTTATTATTGATCTATCCTAGTATACACTAAGTCATAACATAAAGGTATGCACTTACTCGTCAGTAGATGGTGCTCTGGTAATGCTTTGGATCAAGTAGGGAGACTGCAGCTACAAGCTCCCCTCATGCGCAGCTCAGAAATAAACGATCTCTGGCTTGAGCAAGACGCCAACTTTGGTCATCTCTCTATTAATCCACAGTGGCTACACAGTGCTCCCTAGTCTGTGTAACCTTTGCTGCAGGGCCAGATTACCCCTAGGTCTGGTGCCAGTAACAGTGACATCAGTGGCTGCTTTTTTGATGTATCAAATATTTGTCATGCAATAAAATGCTAATTAATTATTTAAAAATCATACAATGTGACTTTCTGGATTTTTGTTTTAGATTCTGTCTCTGAAAGTTGAAGTGTACCTATGATAAATTAGACCTCTACATACTTTGTAAGTAGGAAAACCTGCAAAATCATTAGTGTAACAAATACTTGTTCTCCCCACTGTATATGTCTTTTGTTTAATTAGCGGTAAACTTGAGGCACTGGTAATTTAGTCTTTTGTTCATCACCTTCACACAAGCCAAGAAAACACTGTGCGACAGGGAAGTTGTATGAAAACAGGAATAAATATACATATTCATTTATTTTTCTAAAAAGCACCCCTGATTGAGGAAGAAAAAGGGCATGTGCTGAAGCATTTACACACACCATACATATACATATATATACACACACTTAAAGATTTGCCCCCTCGCCATTTTTAACTGCCACCTAAGTCACTTCATCCTGGTGCAGTCACACTCACGACCACCAGCAGCTCAACTCTGACGCCAGCCATGAATCAATGGGAAGGCCCTCCTGGACACTTTTTGAAATCTGGAAATTTTTTCTTAAGTATAACTGGAATTTATCTTTCAGACAGACATTTTGAATAATGCAAGCATGTTAGAATTATTGGAATTATTTTATTTTTTTAAATACCATGGATATTGCTTGTTATACTTTTAATCAACACAGGGGTTTCCTTTGGGTGCTGCATTATATTTGGAGGTGTCTCTAATATTGTCATTGTCTTCCTCATGTAAAGTATGATCATGTTTTTTTTTGTTTTTATCATTAAAATAGATTAAATACAATATGAAACAATCTACTCTCCATCTCAAAAGTAGAATCAACAGCTCTGAGTAAAAACCATATTGCAGGCATCACACAAATACATTTTATCACAAAGATGTTGAATAGATTAAACTTTACAGTTGTATCTAATAAAGGCTGTCATTAACATTTAAATGATTAATTTCACTGACTGAAATAATTAAACTCAGCTTGCTTTCATTTCAATCACCAAAAGAAAAGCTTTTTGTAAACAGCTATGATCAAATGTATTTCACAGAGCATTGCTGGACTTTTATGCTTTAAAGTTCTTCCATGATGATGGTTCAGATATCACACCTTTCAGCCTCTTTAACTTATTTTAAAAATGTAAAATAAGAGAAATTTCTCGGGGAGGCAAAAGAGTTTATTCTTTCAGTACAAGAACAGAAACACCCATATAGTCTACTACTGCACCACAAGTCAAATAAGCAGACTATTCAATAGTCTTTATCATTTAAAACAATAATTTCCTTTCTTTTAATCTTATTCTCTAGAGCCAAAAGAAAAACCTGCTTGTTTTTTTAGTAGTGAAGTAGAAATTCACTTGTAGGCGTTGGCCTTATGTTTGGGCAAAAAGTTGAAATTGTTCGGTACAGGTCCAAGTAGCATTTCACTGGAGAGGGGATAAAGTCAGAGTTTATAATAAGTAAATATATCACTTTAACAATACATTTTAGTGTTGCTTGATTTTGAATGATACTTGCAGATTAACACAGTTTTCTGCTCACCTAATTCTGACCCAGTCCCCAACATTTTGACTGGCCATCAGCGACTCCAGGTAGTTTCTGCCCATGTAGTACGGAGGTCTCTCATTGATCTTCTGAGGCACTCGCTCTAACAGACCCACTGGAATATATCTGAGGGACAGGGATGGGACATCATCTTTATTTCCTCTCCAGTTCACTTTTCATTAAGTTTTCAATATGAAAGCCAGATAATGTTTGACAAGTTCTTTGCTTAATTTCTTTTGACCTAATTCACTGAGTGGTCCTGTGACAGAAGAGCATCCCGTGTTTCCTAACAGGGATGTCATAGATCAGATTTAAGTTTAGATTTCAGTTTAAAACATTCACCATATATTCCTATTCAAGCAGCAGATGTGTACTCTGTGAACCCAGGATATAAGTATAGCAGCTTTATATTTTAAGTCCCATCTTGCAGCCATTTGGAGCCACTCGTATATAGTCCCCTCCAAAAGTATTGGAATGGTTAAGGCAATTCCTAAGTTGTTTAACACATCTAGATGTGAATACCAGGAAATAAAAGCTGAAATTCTGAACTCTTGTCTCATACTCATCTTTTGATCTTAAACCCAAATGTCTTCAGTGAACAACAAAAACAAAGGAATACTTTTCACGGGACTGTATAACTTTTATAATTGCTGTTCTTTATTAATATCAAACACATTTTGGAAAAAGTATCAGATATCCCCACAGACTCAACACTGTTTAATGAGATGACTTACAACACCATGACTAACAGCAAGCCTACTATAAAAATACTGTTATTACCAGTATAAACATACTGTTTCAGTCTGTTTCAGTACTAAATTAAAAACAGTACTGAATAAGGCTTGTTCATAGAAGAAGTAGAAGAAATACAATATACTGAAGTGCATGTCATTGCCTACCTGCACATGAAGGAGAGCCACTCCAGCATAAAGGTGCGGGTCTTCTCCACACCCCTGGTGTCGGAGCCCCAGTGCTCCAGGCCGAAGTTGCTGAAATCCCTCAGTATGTCCAGTCGCTCACTGGACGAGATGTCCCAGTGTCTGCTCTCCTTTATTTCAGTGAAGATCCAAGGCTTAATGAGAGCACCTCTGAAGAAAGCCAATCAGAACAAAAGTCAAACATACAAATGCTTATATAACATTTTATTTTACTGTCAAATTCAACTTTACTACGTAAAATATTGGGATACTAAACATATTGGGTGAGTCTGGGTGAATAATGCCAAAACTTATGACTGTCAAATAAATATATTTCAATATTTATTCCAAAGGTGGCAGACTTTCTTTTCTAAAAGTGTCCTACTGCTCTGAAGGTTATGGGTAGACCACAAAATAACTTGACTTGATTTATTCGGTTATGTGTTTCAATATTGTGTCTCAGCTGTGTGTAATAACTTGAATGGCACCAACCTTGCAATCATAATACCAGAAACACCAGTCTCCCTCGCTTTCATGGCATCCTCATAGGACAAAATGTCTCCATTACCTTGGACAATAAAGACAGGTCACCTTAGTTCATCTCACCATCACAAAAAAATTATTGTTCTACAACCTGTGCATGATTTTACAACCTTGACATTTACAAATTATATAAATGGAGTTTTGTTTTTTTCCCCCCATTAGAGGAGGTGGTTTTTCTCATCTTTGTTTACCATTGCCCCCTATTCTGCTGTTCTGTTCAATTTGCAGCTACATTCTTTATATATGCACATACCAAAAAGTGGGACGGGACTAGCCAGCTTGGAGCAGGAGGTGATATAGTCCCAGTCAGCTAACTTAGTGTAGCGCTGCTCTCTGGATCGGCCATGCAACTGCAAGAAAACAACAGCATGACAAATATTAAATATGATCTTTGACATAAAATCAGAGTAAATATATTTTCAGACTGCTAAAATACATCTCTCTTTTTAGACTAGCAAACTCTTGTCACATTTATTAAGGTTTCCTCTACTACAAGACTTACTGTGATCATTGAGACGCCCCATTTCTTCATCTCAGGGATGAGTTTGTGTGCAATGTTGCACTTCTCCTGAACACCAGTGCGAATTTTGACTGTCAAAGGGACATCAAGGACCTTTGGGCAGATAAGAGTTTTAATGCAGCCTTTAACTTCCAAGCAACAGTGAAATTCACTGCACGTACGATCCAAGCCAGAGAAAAAGATTGTTTTCATGGTACAGTTATATTTTCAATTTGTTATTAATCATTACTTGTTGGATTTCCTCTTAACAGATAAAAATCTCTTCTTAAAAAACACTATAGGATTGCTTGCCTTCATTAAAAAAAACAATGCATACAGTGCTATTCATTAGGTAAAAGATCAACACTTACATAGTTCATTCCCTTGACTATCTGTTCAAACTTTCTGGTACGTGTCATCAAGCCACAGCCTCCACCCTGATAAAAGAAAGCAAACAAACATCATTGGTACTCTCTGTTTAATGATTCTGTCTCAGCCACTGAAGAAAACAAACACTTCTTCAAGGGTTCTTGAGGAATATTTTGAAGCTTTTTTATTCTTTAAGGAGAGTCTTAATTTAACCACAGAGGGAAGATAAAGGTTTGGAAATAACAATTTCAAACATTTTCACACTGCAGCATGTGTGTATAAAGCGTTCCTTTAATGTGAATGGGACTACTTGGTTTACCTTTTTGTAGACAAGGTCAATTGGGCATCCAGAGTTGATGTCTACAAAGTCAACATCAGTGTTGTTGTTAATGAGCTCTGCGCACCTCGTCATGGTGTCGGGGAAGCAGCCTTCCACCTGGAGACAGGATTTGGACTTCAGAACCGAGGCAATCTTTGCTCAAAATATTCTCTTCACTGAAAAATTGACATTGACAACATCCCCATGCCGGGGTTATAACAACATGAACATGCTATTCAACAACTCTGAGGACTTCTGAAGAGCCTCAGTGATCTATGATGACATCACCTGGACGCCAAAAACATCTTCACTTTCATGCCGTTTCAAAAGGGCCCACTCTGACTGCTGTCCCTGCAGCAGGTTCGTGCACATGGCCATCTCCCCGCAGGTGATGTCTGCTCCAAAGCGCTTGCACACACGACGGAATGGTAGGTTTCCACACTACAAAAAGCAAATAAACTATACTGACAACTCCTCTTTGTTTGGCAGCATTTAACCATACAACTACATAAATAACTCAAATCTCAGTCGTTACAGTATCTCACAAGAGTGAGTACACCCCTCACAGTAAATATTTGATTATATATGTTCATGTGACAACACTGAAGAAATGACACTTTGCTACAATGTAAAGTAGTGAGTGTACAGCTTATATAACAGAGTAAATCTGCTGTCCCCTCAAAATAACACATCACACAGCCATTAATATCTAAACCGCTGGCAACAAAAGTGAGTACACCCCTAAGTGAAAATGTCCAAATTGGGCCCAATTAGCCATTTTCTCTCCCCAGTTTCATGTGAATCATTAGTGTTAGAAAGTCTCAGGTGTGAATAGGGAGCAGGTGTGTTAAATTTAGTGTTATCACTCTCACACTCCCTCATACTGGTCACTGGAAGTTCAACATGGCACCTCATGGTAAAGAACTCTCTGAGGATCTGAAAAAAAAAGAATGATGGCCTAGGCTGTAAGAAGATTGCCAAGACCCTGAAACTGAGCTGCAGCACGGGGGCCAAGACCATACAGCGGTTCAACAGGACAGGTTTCACTCAGAACTGGCCTAGCCATGGTCGACCAAAGAAGCTGAGTGCACATGCTCAGCCTCATGTCCAGAGGTTGTCTTTGGGAAATAGACGTATGAGTGCTGCCAGCATTGCTGCAGAGGCTGCAGGGGTGGGGGGTCAGCCTGTCAGTGCTCATACCATACGCCACACACTGCATTAAATTGGTCTGCATGGCTGTCATCCCAGAAGGAAGCCTCTTCTAAAGATGATGCACAAGAAAGCCCGCAAACAGTTTGCTGAAGACAAGCAGACTAAGGACATGGATTACTGGAACCATGTCCTGTGGTCTGATGAGACCAAGATAAACTTATTTGGTTCAGATGGTGACCAGGTGAGCAGTACAAAGACAAAAGTGTTTCTTGCCTACGGTCAAGCATGGTGGTGGGAGTGTCATGGTCTGTTTTCTGGCACTGGGGAGCTACAGTTCATCGGAACCATGAATGTCAACATGTACTGTGACATACTGAAGCAGAGCATAATCCCCTCCCTTTGGAGACTGGGCCGCAGGGAATATCCAACATAATACGACCCCAAACACACCTCCAAGACGACCACTGCCTTGTTAAAGAAGCTGAGGGTAAAGGTGACTGACTGGCCAAGCGAGTATCCAGACCTAAACCCTATTGAGCGGAAGGTGGAGGAGTGCAAGGTCTCCAACATCCACCAGCTCTGTGATGTCCTCAGGAGGAGTGGAAGAGGACTCCAGTGGCAACCTGTGAAGCTCTGGTGAACATTTGGGCCCAATCTGGACACTTTCACTTAGGGGTGTACTCACTTTTGTTGCCAGATATTAATGGCTTTGTGATGTGTTATTTTGAGGGGACAGCATATTTACACTGTAATACAAGCTGTAAACTCACTACTTTACATTGTACCAAAGTGTCATTTCTTCACTGTTGTCACATGAAAAGATATAATCAAATATTAACAAATGTGAGGGGTGTACTTTTGTGACATACAGTAAATCAGTCTGGTAGTACTTACAGTTGTTAGAGGAGCAAGGTAGAGCTTGTCTTGAAAGTCCACCTAGAACACAGACATAGAAAATCACTCTTAAGAAAATCCACATGACTACTTTAAAATGTATCAGTATCAGTAGGATTTTTGTACACTTATTTAGCAAAAAAATAATTTAACAATATTCCTTGTTATTTTAAATGAGTAACCATTCTATAAGAAAATATAATTGAAGGAAAGATGGTCTCCTGAGATATACCTGTTTCTTTTCACATTGGCGCAACTTGATGACATCTACATCAGTCAGTGGGCCAATTGTCTTCACTGGAGGCTCTTTATCTGGGCTGGCCTGTACCTGGTCACAAAGCAAACATGTAAAGATAGTGTACATGTAAAACACATACACACAACTATATTTATATATAAAAATAATAGGTAGTATTCTGAGCAGATGTTTGTACCTGTGTTTCTGCTTCAGTTGACGCACGCTGCCCCAGTCCTGTTGGATCTGCAGGGGCTGCAGGTGCACATGCATCACCTAGGTGTGTGAAAAAACTTAATTATAATACCAAATTTAAATATATTCAAATTTCACATTTTATACAAAGATACTTTTGTAAGATGTTTGTGTCTGAAAACACAAAATATTTGGAAACAAACATAAGGCATGTTTTGATGAGCAGCAACAGCGAGTACGTAGCTCTTAAATCAAGGATATACATTCATACAGGTTGTTATTCAACACCTGTTTGATTCAAATGATAAAGAGCGGCATGCATGTTGCCCGACTAACATTAGATGAGCTGAATAAATGAAAGTCCCAATAGTGCCATGAAGACTCACTTCACTCACTGCTGATTACACTTTTACACAATTATACTGTCAGTATAATTTCTAACCACTTAACTGACTCTTTATGAGACTCAGAAAAAATGATGACTAAAAGTTTTATGCTTAAGGAGGAGCAGTAACACTGGCAGAATATTAACAATATTCCTGAGGGACACGTGCCCAAGATCTATCTAAAACCTTGTCTTACCATTTCCTTGCGGTTCTCTTTTGTCTTTGTTGTTTGAGAGAGTTTTGAGGTACTCTGCTGACTTCTTGAAGGCCACAGAACGCTTCCTCAGACTATTCTGGAGGTCTTTACTCAGGCTGTTCTTCACCACGGTCTTGCCCTCGCAGGACTTAATTAGTTCTGCGTTCTCCATGGTTTTGAAGTCAGGTGTAGTGTGCGCCTTTGCGAAGCGGCAGGAAAGACCATAACCACACTTCCCAAATGTGTCATAGAGGTAGCAGCTTTCCCCGATGTCAGCGGGCTTAGTGGCCATGTACTCTGCTACGTCATGGTGAAAGTGGCATTTGTCTCCAAAGGGGCATTCCCTATTGTCCTGCATGGATTGAAAAAGTCATGACAATGACAAGAATAAGGTGACATAGCGTTCGGAAATTACTGTATGTGGCATTTGTGAATGGTTGGCTAAAGTTTTGTACCTTGATAACTGAGAGACACAGTCTTTTTTCTTCATAGGTGGTAGGCTTAATGTGTGGCCTTGACTTATTCTGTCCCCGTAGTCGTTTACCATCTGGTTTTCCCGCATTACTTCTCTCCTCCGTCTCCAGTTTGGGCTTTTTAGCTTCAGGTTCCTCAAAAGGACTCTCCTTTTTCTCCTCAACTTTGTCATTTTCACTGGTCGTTTCTCTTTTTGTAGACTCTGAGTCTATAAACCCATGAAATTTGTCTTTGGTTGTTAGAAATCTGCAAATATGACAACAAAAAAAAGCGTAATCATCCTGTCAGTTTGGTGGTGTAACAGCCTGAAATAATATCTGAAGAGAATGTGTAATGGCCATTGTATAAAATGGTGCAAATATTAACCATCAGTGCCCTGCCCTTTAATTCATGTTATTATCATTATTATTATTAATTAATGTGTTACAATATAAGGTCGGAGGAAAAAGTATGTGAACCCTCTGCAATTACCTGGCTTTCTGCATAAACGGGACATAAAATTTGATCTGATTTTCATCAAAGTCAAATAGACAAACACTGTCTGCTTAAACTAATACGACACAACACCAAACAATTGGTGAGTGTTTTTTAATGGGAAGGGCAGCTCTAACCAATACCTCCAATCTCATCTCAGTGATTTGACTCCAGGTTGGCTGTCTCCAATAAGCTTTTGGAGAAGACATTAGCCTAGGGATTCACATACTTTTTCCACCCTAACTGTGAATGTTTACACGGTGTGTTTAATAAAAACATGAAAACATTTAATTGTTTGTGTGGTATTAATTTAACCAGACTGTGTTTGTCAGATCAGATAACATTTTATGACCAATTTATCCAGGTAATTCCAAAGGGTTCACATACATTTCCCTGCGACTGTATGTGTGTGTATGTATTTTTCTGCTGAAGCAATGTGATGTGAGACTGTCTGACAGCTAAGACCAAGGATATTATTTGTCATTACTGACAAGAGTAAGAATGAATTCAAATACCATTTTGTCACATTTGCACACTACTCTACTGTCACAAGATAACTTTATTACTCAGTTAATGGCAAAAGTACTATAGGAGCCACAGATTCAGACTATTCAGGCCATGTAAAACACGAGCAAGAGCTCAGTCCACACTCTGTGCAAGAAATCAAGTGCATTCACTATAGCTACTAAGCCTTTTTGCTGACTGTGTTGTCCTATTGACTCCATCAGACAAAGCAGCGTTCAGCCTGTGAAATGGCTATGGGAGGGCCACTACCTTAAAGTAGGAGTCCATGCTGCTGAAAAACGGTGGATTACTCTATTCAGATTAGGCTGAGAAATGGGCTGAACAATTTTGAAAATTTGCAATACTGGAGGGAATGATTTCTCATTTTCATTGAAAACATTTAAATGATTATGGAGTGATTTGCAAGGATATATACCAAACAAAGATGTTTTCTTAAGTCTGTAAGAATATGATGTGTAGGCCAGGGCATCCCTGCAGCAACAGCGCTGAAGTTAGCTGTTAAGGGGACAGATTCTCCGTTTTTTTGCACCTTTTACTGCTGTGAAAGCTGTTATGCATTTTAGGCAAAGCCTTAAATTTAGATAGAAAACTTTATTTTATTTGTGAAAAAGAAAAAAGGCAATTTCACTGCTTTTTCTCCACATGCAGACCATATTAGACCAGGGCCAGATCAAAAACCACTATGCCTAGAGCTTTCGAACCTGGATTAGATTGTCCCAGAGCTGCTAAAGTTTCAATCAAACATAGTTTCAGATTTGTGAAACCTTTATTCAATTTGTGAAAATACTCTAAAGTGCGATTTAAAATGCATAACAGCTTTCACAGCAGTAAGCTGCAAACAGACAATCGGTCGCATAGCAACGTAAGTTAACTTTCACTTAAATTCCCCGTAAGTTAACTGCCGAATCGGAAGCCAACTTCACCGTCGATGTCGACAAGGGGAAATGTCTAAAGATCTCTATCAGGATAATATAAGGCCACAAGCCAAAACGTTGGTCTGACAATAAAGTTGTTCTTTATACTAAGTTACTGTTGTTGGCAGTTTTGACCTCTTAAGAGAAGACATGATGCTCAGCGTTTTGGCTGGAACATCACCAGTGCTAGTTACTTACTCTGGTTTGATGGCAGCTTCACCTTTTACGAATACATCGGTCTTCTTATCACCGGTTTCCTCTACCGCGTTTTCCATCACACCTTCACAGGTTTCCCCCCAATCCTTTTCCTAAAACATATCGTTAGTACACCAGCTGCATATTTAACTCTAACGTTAACTTACTTGTTAACTCATCGTCAGCTGTGGCTACTTCATTTAACTTCCATTGAAGTAAACTGCCTGATACAATTGGATTGTAATTAACAGGTTTACTTACCTGTTATTATTAAGGGTGCCAAAATAAACAGTTAATGTAGCATGCTTTGCTCGAACAGCGAATTTAACTGAACACCCCTCACCCAGCTAACAAGCTAACAGCTAACGTAACGGCTGTTGACGCTCACTGGCTAGCTGGCGCATTTAACGCAAATTTATAGCGATGAAAAGTCTTGTCAAGACTCAATAAACAAATACATTAAACTTGGATTACACTACACTGTCCCACACTAACCTGTACAGCAACAGCGTGAGGAAACTGTTGTGCAGCGGCTTGGTAAGGTCCGTGGCGTATTGACCGACGGGCATTGGTTCCGGGTATTACAGTAAATCTCCCAGAGATTAAACATATTCAGATAACCTGTTACTTGAATATGCATAAAATGTTAAGTCTTACTGTGGCACCAAAACCCATCTTCTATATTGCTTAATATATCAGTAATTACATAAGAAATGAAATCATAATGTTGTGCCTTTTTCTTTGGATCTCACTTTTATTTCAACATTGCATGTTACCATGAATTAGAAGAGCAGCTCTCCCAACATGTAATTTATAGCTCTTTGACCAGGAAAAACAAAATAATTTCTCAAGAGCATTACACGTGCATATTAAGGGGAAGGGAAAAGGCAGTATTACAAAAATAACACTCTTGTTAATAAATTACTGGATATTAAGGGAGAAACGATAGGTCAATCCATGGAAAATTAAGCAGCAACCATGTTGATAATTGATTGTTTGAAATATCGTTCAAGCCAAGAAAATTCCTAGCTCCGTTGTAAGGACTTGCTGCTTATGTTGCCTTATGTGATACTAAATTGAACTGGTTGGAAAAAACAAGCAATTTGAAGACGCTTTCTTTTTTCTGTTCAGACATTTTAGAGACCCAGTGATGAATCAAGAAAAGCACTCAGCAGATTAATCAATAATGAAACAACTGTTAGTTGTGGTCCTTCCAGATATCTGAAATATTACAAGAGGAGTCAGAAATCACATTTTAGTTACTACATTAACAAATAAGCAGCACCAAACACCATAATACAGACAGTTACAATTAGTCGTCTGGTGGGAAAGCAAGTCTTTCAATCTTTGCATCAAACCGCTTTCGGCTGGAGTCCAAGATGTTGATGCCATTCTTCTGAAAGTCATATCCCACTCTCTGCAGCTCCTCTAGTCGCCCTGTAATGTTCTGTGTGCTGTAGTCTAAAACTTTGGGCTTTTCCAGTATCTGCTTCACTGTTATCCCTCCTTTTAGGAGACAGTCCAGTTTACAGCTCAGCGTGTCAGGACCGATGTACAGAACCATTGGATAGCTGATGATTAGTTTTTTTATGTCAGCTTTACGACAGCCAAGTGAAACCATCTTCTGTTGGAGACTGTTAAAATTCTTTTCCAGATATTTATTTGAAAGGTCCAGAATTTCTGCCCCAGGGCCTTGAAGGAGAGCAAGCAGGTCTGAGTCACTCAACTTAAGAGAATTTCTCAGGATATCAATGTTTGCCTTCACTCGCTTTGTGCTGCGGATGAGAATGTAAAGGTTTCTGGATATGACGGCTTTAGGAAACTGCTCTGGATTCTTCCCGCCGAGTTCGGCACAGATGTCCTCCAGAAATTCCACCATCTGCCTGTTGAGCTCTAAACTGTTGGAGAATGTCCGCGGCGCTGTTGTCAGCAGGCGGTGGAGGTCTTTGGTGTTCAGTCCCAGCGAGGTCAGAAAAGCTATGTTCTTCTCCAAGTTCCCATTATCACTGGACCGGAAGAAAGACTCAGGGGAGCGATCCAGGATGCTCACAATTTCTGCATCAGTCTTGAAGATATTTCTCCACAGCTCCCAGCGCTGTTCCAAGTGTTCAATCGAGCGGGTGATAGAGCGGGGATAACGGGATATGATGCTGGCAATAACTTTGCGGCTGGCACCTTTGCCTTGCAAAAATCGAGCAAGACCTTGCTCATTAGTGAAGGATTTACGAAGCACCCCAGGTTGACGCTGGCGTGCCATCTTCACGTCTACTCCCAGGAGATTGAGGTTCTCCAGCAGAGATGTATTCTCTGGGTTCACTGGCAGCTTTGGCTCATTACTTCTTGTGGGGTCACTGCAAAGCCTCCTGGGATGGCAGGCTGATGCCAACTGCATTGGAACAAGCCCAACGCTGCGCTGCAACATCACTGATCGATGGAGGCTGAAGAGAGCCCTCACTGCACGTACTGCTGCCATTTTTAATTAGGAGGGCTACACTGTAACATCACTGCCAGTGTCAGTGGACCTAAGAGAAGAAACACAGCATATTTAGCTGAATAATAACAGAAGAATCAAGTCAAATAAACAAAATACAATCATACTCAGTTGGTCATAAACAGCGCACACCAGAATAAAGTTTGTAATAGGTATTTTATAGGTAATAATCCAGACATACTTGACTGCATTTTGCTAGCTACTACTAGAAAAAGTCAAATTTACTTAATTTTAAAGTACAGTAGGTAGTATTAGTAAAATTTGCTTATAGTATCAAAAGTACTTTGCCCCTGTCAGTGTTATATTATATACATTTTATAATTATAACATATTATTGGATTAAGTATTGATGTATAGACATGTCTGCAGCATTTCAATGTTCTAACTGGTCGATTTGGAGCATTTTATCTGCTAGCAAATTCAATCCGTCATATTTTATTTGTTGATCAGATTTGTATGTAAACTCTGAATCTGCAAGGTAACTCGTAAAAGAAATTGAGAAGCATAAATTAAAAGTTATCAAGTGAAGTGCACTACTGGTCAAAGGTTTTAGACCCCCCCATTTTTTCTAGTTTTTATTGAAATGTACGTAGTTTAAATCCTGTGAAAACAACAATTACATCACCAACATAGACATTTCCAGAGAGAGAAAAAATAACAATTAAATTAGAGAGTTTTGTTCATTATTTCAATGTAGGATCAACCTTTGACCAACTGGTCTGTCTTCTTTCATTAAAAGCCTTTTTTGTTGCAATATTAGCTTCTGAGGTTGGAATTTTGTTTTTGCATCGACTTTCAAGGCTTCACTTACTTCCATTGCTACAGAATAACCAAAGAAGCAAAAGACAAAGTTTAGGTCAGAAAAACTGAGAAATAATGTAAATATCAGAGATACGCATTTTCAACTCAACAAAATGTTAATTTTGCACCCTGGGAACGTTAGCAATGGAAGTAACTAAATGAAGCACTGAAAGTTGACAACATTTCTACAGCTGTCCCAGTTTTCACTGGACTGAACTGCTTATATTTCAATACTAAATAGAAAAATTGGGGTGTTCTAAAACTTAAGTGTACCTAGAAAGTGTAACTTTACCTCAGTTTATCCTGCCCTCACATCGTTAATTTAAGTATTCATCCGCAAAGGAACTTGATTCACCCCAAAAGAAACTGCTTCAGATTTACCACATGCAATTATCACCGTATCAATGCCTTACTCTTCTTGTACAAAGTAAATTAAACACATACTATGGATAACTAACTTTACTTGTCATGCTAGCGGAGTTCAGCGTTTGACAGCCCTGTCCAAATCAGAACGGAAACGTGAAACTCTCGCGAGATTTGTCACCCGGATAAGAAATCCAAACGTTGCTAATTAGCGTCATCTAGCGTTTTGGAGTTAAAATGGATCATCTGCTTACATTCGACCACTAGATGGAAGCAAAGGGTTTGCACAGTTTCTGTCTTTCTACATGGAAAACACTCAAAACTACTATTAGGGAGAACATGAAATTTAGTTAGATAATTTAATTACAAAATAAATGTTTCGTTGCTTTGCATGTTTTCCATGTGCACGATGTATTTTTCCGTTTAGTAAAGTTTGATGCTATTCTGATCCTTTGATTGGTTCTCCGTGTTTGAATTTGCAGCACCACCCACCCGTCTGCCAGAGAAATTGCCTCTCAAGGTGTCTTTTGACAAAGGTTAACAGTGGAAAACATTGATTAGAAATTCAGAAAAGTAATCAAAAAGCCTCTAAATGTAGCCTAATAAGTTATATTACTTTGAAAACGACTATTAGATCAGTTACCAATTACATTTCCAAAGTAACTTTCCCAACACTGCTCATAAGAGATAAGATAAGATAAGATTATGAAGTAACCTATAAGGATTTAATCAGAAACAAATCAAAACAAGATGCTGTTTGAATTGATAGGTCAAACTAATGTTATAGTCCCCATTAAGCAAGAACTGTGAGAGTGTACAACCCAACAACATGGTTGCAGGGCTGAAGGATTAACCACTACATTTCTTTATGTTCTATTTTGTGTGCATTTCATCTCCATAATTGATGCTTTAAATGGTTCAAAGACCTTCTCCACACATCCAGTATGTAGTTTTGGTGTAGATATACTAAATTCCTTCATTAAATTTTATTTTCAATTAAGTATTTGTTTAAAATTAGCCAAATTAAGAAAAGAATAGTCTAAAAAATAATAGAACCTGCCTTCAAAATTCACCATTTATCAGTTGTGTGTACATGCTCCTCCTTAGGTTGTTAAAATCCCCCAAATTCACAGAAACAACATAAAGGGCATGGCCTCTGTGTTCTCAGTGGAGACGACCCTGAATAACTGCATTGCTATTTTGCACTGTAAATAAGTATTATTAAGTAAGTACTATTCAGTGACTTACAAAACCCTTAATGAAATTGGATTTCCCGTCCATTCACAGCTGTATTATGATACCTAGCAAGCTTAATGTTTTCAGTGTAATCTTAAAATACTAAGTTGTAGAGTAGCCTATATTGGACCGTGAGTTATAGGCATTAATACTTAATTAACGTCAGACACACAGCTGACATGAGGTAGAAGAACGTTTGCCATGTGGTGCAGCAGCTTAGCACTGAAAAACCTACTGACCCATTGCTTCTTTTTACTGATGACTCCCAACACTCGTGAATATTTTAACGCAGCACAGTGATATCTTCATTATGCGAATGAGCCCAACCGCCATCAGTCATCAACAGGACACGGTTTACTTTACACTCAGGACCACTTTTCTCACACTTGTCCAAAGCACTTTTGCCTGTATTTGCATAATGATGTGTGATGATGAAGAGAGCAACTCATATGTTTCTGCCTGTTTATGGAGAAAAGTGGAAGACACAAGACAGGAGGCTGCTCCTACACCAACAAGGCAAAATGCATTTTCGTCTGTGAGACAGTTTCTACACGTTCCATCTTTTGCACTTTATAGTGGCTTATTGCTGCTTCCATCGTAACATCTTGCCAGTTTATTATGTAGGCCTACACCTAGTTAAAACTGTAACACCGTCTGATACACTTAATTTGTTTGTTTTTGTTGACATGACATTTGGATCATGAATCTTCAGGTAACACAGACGAAAAGCAAAAGCAAAAGAACATCGGTTACGGCATTATATGTACTTCTCTTTGCTTTCAGGTAACATATTGTCCGAGATATTTCAAATAACTTGTAGGCCTACATCAAATCAGAAAAAGTTCAGAAATTCTAAAGGAATTTCGGTACTTTTTCTCCAATAACTTAATTTTTTTTGTAATGTCATTGAGATGGCACAATACAAAAGCCCTGCAGTGGTCCACACTGCAGAGTATTGGCTGTAAGGTAGGATTTACACTTCTGTCCAACTATTTTAGACTGGGTTGGTTTGAGATAGGTCTACCTAATAAGCTGGCAATTGAATTACTCTCCTTCCCCTCAGCCATGTTCTTATAAAAAGCACAAGTATATTAATGTCTTATAAGCATAGCTAATACGCAGTTTCTTTTGCTATCTTTCAGTTTGTTTTTGCTTCTCTGAATCCATTTCCATTTCTCTGTGGCTAGTTTCCCTCGCTCCCTCTGAAGCTCTTGGACATGGACGTTCAAGGAATTTATGCATTTCTTCATGCTTGAATATGTCTGCTGTTGGGTTTTTAAAATTAAATGAAATTCTGTCCTGATCCATTTGCTGTGGTCTCCTTGGTAATGTTGCTTGGGTAACTGCTGACACTGTACTCCTTCAGTGAATCAATAATTTAGAAACTACCGAAACTTTCAAATGCTCACAGACGCTGTGGCACAACCATCGGGTGTTCACAGGTGGGATCAAATTGGCGACAATGTCCAAAAGAAGATGGGTGGAATTCAAGATCTGTCAGACTATAAGCTGCTCAGCTCCTGTCAGCCGAAGACGCCGAGCATCCTCCCCTGCTACGGCCGCTGGTATGTTTTAAATGTTTCTGAGTAGGAGAAACTTTCACATTTTGGTAACTTATGTGAGTCTAGCAGTTTTTTTATGGACCTTGTTGAAACATAAGATGACAGGACTGTGGCCTGAAAAGATACTTTATTTTAAAGATGTTTTAAATTAACAGTTTTGTTCCCACTAGGGCCCTAGCTTAATTACACCATGCTGATTGCATTTATTTGGAGATTCTTAACAACCCTAAGTTGCATTTTTATTTGTAATAATAATAATAATAATAGCTTGTATTTTTATCGCAAATACACAGACATTAGAGAAGTTGTATGGTTTTTCTTAGACTTTCCTTTGTCTTTATACTGGGGAGAAAAAAATTAAAAGGGTAGTATCTGATGTGAGATACTGAGATACTCTGGTGGAGAGATACATTTCAAATATCTCTCCACCAGCAAAATTTTCCTGGCAATGTTTTTACGGAAAATTTATCCTCAATAAAGTAGCCTAATGATAAAGTTTATTTGTATAGTTTTGTGCTTTACATAAAACAAACAACAAAAAAGATATAGGAATCAAATAAAGGAGGCAGAAAATGGGAAAAAATCAGCTTAAATTCCGGGCTATGCCCTGATTATCACTGGTTCCAAACCTGACTTGCTGATCATGTAGAAGAATGAATGAATGAAGTGACCCTAAATGACAATTCAGTCTGACAATCAAGGCTGGCTATCACTGCTGTTTAAGCTATATGCTGAAAATGTCTGCAGAACAGATGCAGGGAATACATTCAGCTTACAAGAAGTGACTGACTTGTTCTAAAATAGACTATTAGTAGATTGACGATAGATTCCGCATGGAGCTTGTCTGCAAGTGAAATATTGGCCATCCTGTCCTTTATCACCTCCATCTGTCCCAGAAACTGATGCCAGTCTCTCATGTTACCTGCTGTCCCATTCAGCCAAGTACGCTCAGATGTTTCCTTTTCAAAGGAGTATACATACCTCTATTGTATGAAATGTGCTCAGAATAGCCCAATCAAGTGCCATGCTGTAAAATGTGAGGTGATGGCTGAAGCCTTTTTTAGAAGAAAAACACTGCTTTGAAATGAAAATATTTTGTGCTAAGAAAGCTCTCTACTGGGACAGCTCTGGCAACCTCTCCTCTCGTTACCATAGAAACTGAGCAGACGTTTTAAGCAGGATTCAGACTGAATAATGCAGTGAAATTTATGATATTATGAAAATCATTAGATAAGTAAATAATGATATTTAGAAAATTGCTGTACATTAAGACATTAAATTATTCCATGTTCCATTATTCCATTATGCCATGTTTGTATTGCTTCTATGAATTCAGTAAGTAAATACAAAATATAACAGAACCATGTGTTTTGTTTAAGATGTTTTAAACAGTCAACAGCTGTTCGATTATTAGGCCACAGTGTTGGAATGTAGCAAAGTGCATTTACTGTATGTATACAATTCTGAGGTACATGAACATTCATTTGATGTCATGCCACTTCAGACTTCTTCTCCAGAGAGCAATATTGTACTTTTTACTACATTTATTTGTCAGCTATAGTTACAAGTTACTTTACAAAGTTAGACTCTACATACAAAACATGTAATGCGCTTTTAAAATAGCTGTATTGGTATAGAATAAAATCCCAACAGTATCAGAATCAGTATCAGAAAGAGCTTTATTGCCAAGTAGTATTTTACACATGTGAGGAGTTTGTTATGGTGATTAGGTGCTAGACATAGACAAACATACAGTTAGCATAAAACATATACATATGGAACAAACAGATGCAAGTTATAAAAGAATAATAGAACTATGTGTAAAGTGGTAAACTTTTGGGTGTAAAGTAATTTCTGATATTTGGGGTAAACGTTTGGATATTGAGTAATTACGACATTTCTGACAGCACGTGAAGGCACCACTAGTGGAATGCCAGGGGGCGTGGCTGTGAAGGAACCTACACGACGTCATCATAGTTGGGTCTCATGTTTACGTGGAAAACATGGCGGCGGCGGACTACCAACAAGGAGACAGAACCTAGTCAATGCGAGTAGAAGTGTGTATCAGCGAGCTGGCAGCCAGACGAGAGATAATTACCCGTTCGTTTCTTTAGATTTATCTCGCTGATATTTCGCATGAAGCAGTTTCCCTCTTGTTTTAGCCACTGGGACCGCGGTGATGGAAGACGAGGAGAGGCAAAAGAAGCTGGAGGCCGGCAAAGCAAAGGTAGGATTCTCAGTTTTTGGCGTTAGCATAACTCATTAACAGTGCTACCATTGCTGTAAAGTAGTAACGTAACGTTGTCGACAACTTATTTTCTCACGGCTGGGTCTGTCAGCTGTTTTTTTGGTCC